CACATTGTCTTATACAATTTTATCTTAAGATCCATTGTTGTACAGTCTTGGATCGAACGATATATTTTAAATCAAATATCCGTCATCAAAAAATACAAAATAAATAAAAAAAAAAAACAATAAAGTAAAAGTTACAATAATAATAATCATATAGTATTGAGAGAGCTTTTCAACTTCTTGTCTAAGGATCGTACTGGTTTTGTACCTTTTGAGGTTGATAGCCCCAGACAAACTTGTTGAAATATTCGCCAACTATGTATAACACAGATGTGTACACAAATGTACCCAGGAAAAACAGGCATCTCAATGGCAGGTTCAACTGAGTAAGGATTGGATACACCCACATATGGCACTGACTATACACAATATGAATCCTGAAAATTTTGCAAGAAAGGATTTATTCATTTATTGGAATAAACAAAACACCATACTTTAAAAGTAGGTTATCCGGTGATCCAGGCACGTACACAGAATACAATTTTTTTTGGAGGGGGGATGGAGGGGTTACAAAATATATATAGCAATATAAATTGTACAGCTAGTAATACAAATATTTCATATTGATAAGTGTATAATTTGAATTCATTTTCAAAGAAATTATTTCAAAGGGATTGAACCCCCAAACCCTTCTGTATGCGTGCCTGTGGTAGTATATTTTCTTTTCTTAATTTCTTATAAATAGTAATTAACTGCGAAATACCCACATACTAACATACTAGATTACWTGACTACCACTTATAATCCAAATTGTAAGCTTCGTATATATTTTAATATAAAAACATTGGTATTGTTATGCTGGTGAATACAATTAGGTAAATTATTTTGTATTTTAAACTGTATTCCATTTTCAATTTAAAAATCAAAARTTTGGAAATTTAATATAACATTTCTTCAAAGCTGTTTTAACAGCAATTCAAAAATATAGAAAAGCTGTATCAGCACAAATGCACAATTGTATATTTGTATTTGATAAGCATTTTAATTTCTAATTATCCACCTTTTTAACCTAGAATTGTTTTTTTCGTATATCTARCCTATCTAGCCTAGGTACATTGATTTATTGAATTTATTCAATGCAAACCGACTATAATGAAACAGATGCAAGATCTTTGATTATTACAGTTTATATCTAATAAAATAAAGACTATCGATTACTGTTCATACAGGCCATACAGCACTTAAAGACAAACATTTTTGAAATAATTTACAATTTCAACAAGTTGCTTTTTGTTAATAAATACAATATCTTATAAATTGTAATTGTGTTATTATTCGTTCTTATTTCTTGTTTTTTAAGTTCATAAAATAATAAATATACATAAGATAACGAATAACAATAAATGACCATGAAAAATAACCAGATAACTGGTAATATCATTTAGAATATGTAATCAGTTATCACACAATTTTGGAATATTATTAATGCAAATCTTGGATTATTAAAATGTTTACAGTACAAATATAACCCATAATATTGGTTTATAACATTTTAAGTTAATATATTAATATATTTTGTAGATTGCATTTCACATAATTATACCCGAAGTATTAATAAAAAATATTTTATTTACCATATTAAATAAGATAGCTGCAGACAAATATGTGTGGTCATCCCGGAAATACGGGATGGATAAGGTCGGTAGGCAGTGACCATTTCTAGGCAGGTGAATACGAATACGAACGTGTGCATTGTGTGGTTCAGCCAAATTGGAAAATATAAGTCAATATCTTTAGGCATCACCAAACTACGGTCAATAAACCATAAGCTCCAAAACGTCGTAGACACAAACTGAAATAATTTAAATATAATGTTTTATTATAAATAACATATTGTATACTATGATCCAATTAGAATTCACACCTTCTGTTTTTATACTAAAACGTGTATTTTTAAATAGATACCTTGGTACTTAGATTTTTATGGYACGTGGTTATTTTTTTTAATGTTAATGTAGTTCTGAGTGTTCTAACCAATGGCGTATATAGATGGGGCTATTGGGCAGCAGTCCCTCCCGAGATTAAATATATAGTAACTTCTAGGTGCTAGATCATTATTGTTAGATACTATATATTAAAGCCCACCCCGAAAATAATTTTTATACACGCTACCGGTTCTGAAACGTATAAGTTATTAAGTATTTATGCAGTTGATAATTGTTATACCTACCTACTCTGTTAACTTTATTTAAGGATAATGAAAATAATACGATGGTGGAAACTGGAAGAATGTCTCAGTCTTTAAAAAAGGTCAAAGAAGTCCTTAGGTTCTTATTTAGAATCAAAATTGTGTTTATATCAAATAAAGTTATAGATTTTATAGGTAGATAGTCAAATGTGTTAATTTTGGTTCTATATGTCACTTTGTACGGTCGAGCATTAAAAGTGCCAAACGTGGACACTTTGTATTATTATATATATAAAGTATTAAAATATATACACGTGTATATATATAATATATAATTTTATCAAAAATATTATTAAGTTTAAATATTATTTGGTAAATCTAAGTATCTTATAAATTCTAAATAGTGAATAAACATATATTTTCCAAGCTCGATATCGGAGTTTATCAAATTATCGTTTGTGTTTATCGTTGAACTG